AGGTAAGAAAATGGATCAGAAAGGAAAATGAATGGTGGGTGAAAAAAAGACAAACTTTGCCATTTTTAAATAATTATACCAGTAAATACAGATATACAGTGCCTTAAGGAATTTATAATCCTGCAAGTTTTCTATGCAGTTTAATTATATTATAATGTAGTGTTAAAATAGAGATATGTAAGAACTATATAAAGGCTCTTTCTAAATAATCTTATGTTATAAAAATTGAATTCCATAATGTAAAAAAATTGAGCATATGATTCCATGCAGATAAATCCCCAATGGTAAACAGAGTCCTTTGCCAAAGAAGGGGTTAATGTAGCGACACCATAAGACACCAGCAGTGCTGGAATGTTCATCCTTTCTTCACTCAACAAATATTTATTAAGTCCCACTATGTGACAGGCACTCTGCTCCCCTTTTTAAAATTAATTTGGATTGTCTTCCAAATCATAGAAATTTCTCCCAACCCTGGTCCATACACTTCCAGTCTTAATATATGTGCTCCTTAACTTTTAGTATCTATGTGTTTGCAACACACTCAGAGACTATGATATAATATAATGCTTCATAAGTCGTATTACCATATAACTGATGATCTCTGCCTTTCAAATTCCTAATTTAAGCAATATTAAAATGAATTAAATTTATTTTATTAAACTTGTAAGATCAAATATTTGTATGTTAAGTTTACTTATAATAAGATTTTTTTCCTGTGGAAATTTAGATTATTATTAAGAACAGGAGGTAGGAATAAATGTAATAAACTAAGAAAGACATTCTTTGGAAATTATTTCATATTGTGCTGGTTAAGAAGTCCACAGGTTCAGTTCTTCAGGATTGCAGAACAATTCTGTTTGTTCTAATAATTATAGACCACTAGTATTATGATATCTTGTCTTTCCTCCTAGTAACATGTTTCTGTCATCCCCTCAACCAGTCAGAGGCACCAACATAAATCCTTAAAATGGTCACATCCCAGGTTAATGCTATTAAGGGGAAAAAAATCAGTATACCTGATAAGAGTAAAGATAAGAATTAGAGCCCAAAAACTTTTGATCATCACTAAAACTTCATTCCAGAGGCAAAAAACATAATTGTATTTTAAAATCCATTGAAAACCATTTGAGTAATTACATTAAGTTCCCATTTTGCCCTCCCAACCTCCTGCTTTAATTGCATAGGCATGACCTGGTTTTTCCTTAAAGAAAATTCCCAGCCAAGGCAAAATTAACCTCACAAATCCCTACAAATACATACATGGCGCTGAAGTTCAGTGTTCCCATTGCTAATCTCATTGCCTATCTTCAAAAGCCATTGTTGAATCATGTTAAATATCTGTGCTTGGAGTACCCTGAAGGAAAAATTAAGTAAAATAAATATAAGTGACTTACTTAGAATATAAAAGTAACTACCAGCTAAAAGAAAGGTTTTTATTTGGCAATTGANAAAGCAACCCCTTCTGGCTGCTACTTAACTGCCCTTCTCTCCTCTAGTTTATATCACATTTAATCTTCCAAAGAGCAGTAATAAAATAATCAGATGGTTTTACCTGCTCAAATATGTGGTGTATTGAGATAACTTGTTTGCCAGTGCAATTGCGTCTAGCTCTAACTCTGCAACTCCTATATCATGTTTTTCAGTGCTTTCTTCCTCCAATTTTGGGAGCGTGTCTTGGTCAGTTAAATCGGGTACCATTAAAATCAGCAAATTTACCATCCACCTGATCATAGATATATGCAATTCGTCCACCTGTTAAAGAAGTGATTATAATACACATTACCCATTTTAAATACATCAAACTGTAAAAACTATACCAAATTTAAAAATAGAAATGATCATACCTGTGTCCAATTTTCAACAACACTATCCTTCAATAATGAAATCACATCATCACTACTCTGCTAGTATAATTTTATTTTATTTTGCTCACTATGCTACATTAAACTACCCTCTTCTTCTTCTTTAGTTTGGTCAAGGAAATTAAAGCCACAGTTCCCAAACTGTACACCAAGGAATTCCAGGGCTCCACAGGGAACTCTCGAGAATGCCACAGGATTTTAAATCCTTGAGAAATACAACAATGATATGCAGCATCTGTCAAAAGCATGAACCTGGCATAGTTCCCAGTTTCAACATTAGATGCACTATATCACTTTTGATGACATCAGATCTTTGAAAGCTGGTTTTATTGGTGAGTGATAAAAACAAGTACTGTGTGAAAATCAAAGTGGAGCAGGACATAAGTGTGGCAACTCTGCAATCTGGTTTCAAAGTTAGAGAAGCTGTACGACGTCCAACTACATACATCCTATTAGTAAGGAATTTTGATTAAATGAGACTAAAAGGTTTTTTTCTTTCCATGTTTGTGTACGGAAAAATTTACACTGAGACATTAAATTTTACAATGTTTATTTGAGCAAATGACGATTCTAATTGGGTAGTGCCAAAACTGAAAAATGGTTAAGGGGTGCTCTGTGGGTGGGGGCTAAGGCAGAGGTTTTTATAGATAAGATGCTTGAAGCAAAGAAATTATTTAATTGCCTGTAACTTAAATGCTTGCCTTACTTGGGAGAATGTAGCTATTTGGCTGTTATGATGGTTGTTCTTTAGTTTTGTTTTCTTAGGTTGGAGTACACTGACTCTGGCTTTGGCTTGTTTACATAGGCTACCAAAGGCAGTGGAGCTACCTGAGTCCAATGGCCTCCTTGTTTTAACTATTTTAACATGTATTCCGTTTCCAAATAGTTACTAAGGTGTTAGGACATAAATACTTAGTAAATTGTTTGAACCTACCTACTTCACAACCTGAACGAGGTGGTATTTCTTTTGGCTGAGGAGCATGAAAACACTGGGACACAAAGGGCACTGTGAGCTGAGAGAGTCTGGGAACCTCAGGATTAGGGCGTTTGCTGAGGCTGGGTCCCAGAAATAAAATGCAAAAACCTTACGAAACGTAAACATCAAACACACCATTCTCTTCCAATGCCCTACCCACTTTATCTGGTTGGTGAATTCCTA